AAGTTGGGAATGACAAATATCTATTCCCAACTTGAAGGGGAGTAGAGAACACTGATGTGGTCCCCACAGTGTTCATATGGCAGCAATATTTCTGTTAGATATGACAGTGTTAGTTGGTAGTTATTTCAGCTTTATTATTAGTTATTTCTTATTCTATTTGCCATGTAAGCAATAAGGGCAATTCAACCCTTTTACAGTTAGCCAATAGTTATATAAACACCAAGAGTGGATCGGCAGAAATCATAACCTTCCCTCTCTTTTTCTGAAACTCTCTTTGTGTACTTCTTCTCTTCCTCTCTTCTTTTCTTCTTCTCTTCAATTTTTCATCATTTTTTTTTTAAATTCAAGACTGATTGTAGTCTAGATCGACTACTGTAGCCTTGAGATGGGTGTGAGAGAACCAGCAATTCATATAGATCCAATTTCTTTTCCGATTTCCAAAATAATTTTTCCTTTTTGCTTCAGTTGAATAATGCAAAAAAAAAAAAGAGAGAGAGAGAAGGAAAAAACCTACAAATGATACATTTCTTTCTTCTATTTATTTTTCAAGTCAGAGTAGAGATATTCTTGCTTAGACGATTTGAAAACATGTTATTTTTTCTTTTTTCTTTCTAGCAGTGTGGGAGAATTCTTTCAGCGTCATTTTGGGGAAGAGGTAAACAAAAGTTCAACTTGAACTAATTTTTGTTTATTTCCAATGCTATTCTCATCATTCCTTTTTTCCTTTTAATACCCTTTAAATTTGCACCAGATGAAGGGGGTGGAGGTTCTGATCACTTTTTCTTTGTGTAAGGTTGTTGATTATCTTATTGACCCTTTTGTTGCGGGGACGAGTGCTGGTGATCCTGAATTGTTGTCTGTGAGTAAAGCCTTGTCATCTTTATATCCAGCCTTAATCTTACAAGAAAGCATACAACTTGATCATACATTCATGCTGATAAAAAAACATGATAATATGTTCATGAAAATGTCTCTTCAGAACTTCTAGCAGTGAACAATGGCATCCAACATGGTGTTTATGAGGTTAAGGATGAAATAAAATTATCGTATTTTTGGAATTTATTATGCCACATTTTTCAACCCTCTTAATATTCTTGGTCTCGTCAACTGTGATGCAGACATTTTGTACTCTCTCTTAATATCCTTCAGGTGTTTCTAGTTACCATATTGTTGTTTTTTAACAGATACGGCATGCATTCCCAGAGCTGTGGAATCTAGAGAGAAAGTAAGTTCCATGCAACTAGCATTTTCCAGTTTCTTTTTTACTTTTGCTCAAGAATACTCATGCAGTATTTGAAATTCATATGTAGATTACAATACTAAATCTTCCACTAATTACGCTAATTTTCTTTTGTATAAATTTATACCAGAAACAGAATTCTTATTGTATTAATAAAAGGAAGAATTGAACTGTCTGCCCTCCTATTAGTTTTAAGGGGGTAGAACAAAAAATCACTTACAGCTATATTGCTGACCCAAAACACAACAATAATACTAGCAGGTTACAAATTTGTCCCGGTCATGGTAGTTCTCGTTCTTGATTCATGCTCTTCAGAAATTACTTAGCATTCTTTGGCATTAAAACTATAGCTTACAATATTGCACACATTAAGATGTTGTGATTATATGGTAGTAGTACAGATGAATATGATTCAGATTCCTCTGATTACTGCTTGTTGTTGATCTGTTCTTTGGTTAGGTTTGGTTCAATTTTTATTGGTGCAATTCGATCTAAATTGTCTGGTAAAAAGGAAGCAAAACGTGAAAGTGGAACTTCTTCAGGGCAAAAGAAGCATCAACGGGGCTCATTTTCATTTCAAGGTGGGATGCAGGTAAGGAGTATGGACTACATTGCTTTTAGCACTTTCAAGTCATTGATGTTTTTATATGTTACTACCTGGATTTGAGAATATGTTGGTGTTTGATAATCATTTTAATATTCTTAATTCATGCCTATCTATTTAGGGGTGTAGATGGATCAAATTCGAATTTGATTAGAAAAATCGATATCCGAATTCAATTCGATATTTGACTGATATCAAAAATCAATGTTCGAATTTGAATTCGATTAAATA